AAAGAAACAAGAGGAATCCAAAGGGTGGGGGGTGCCACCCCGTTGTGGCACATGTGGGCCCCCACCCACATGCCACATGGTGGGCCCATGTGTATTTTGAGCCCCCATGGAATTTTATAAAAAAAATTTAACATTAAATAAAACGAATTAATATATATTTGAAGTTTTACAACTTTGTAAAACCAATAACTGTATTTTTATAAGTCCAAAAATCATAATTAAAATATTGAGAGATTCATAAATATTCAAATAATAAAACTAAAATCATTTTAATAATAAAATGAACACAATTAAATTAATATGAAGGGAAAATGATCCATATGATTTTAGGAATTCAATCTGTAATAATGGGGCACTCTACCTTCAAATGTGGACTACAGACCACACTAGCTTTATCAAACATACCCAGTGTTTTTCATGACCCACAGTCCAAGTAGGGGCTCATTAGCGGATCACCAAAGTTAGGTCGATGAATCAAGGGGTCGCAATCCCAATTTGTGGATTACAGGTCCTCCCCTAGAGACTAGTCAAGGTCACCACGACCTGAGATGCATATGGGTATCTCTCGCACATGCATACGCTTCACCCAAAGGTGGATATCTGGCTTTCCCGAAATCTATCAATATGCATGTCATGTGATAGAACATAGATGAGGTTTTGGCCCCCGTCTCAGTAGGCCTACCATCACACACAAAGGTCACACAGCCCCTCGGCTCTCTCATCTAGGCATAAGCTCCGGCTTCATCAAGGGATAACCCAAAACCCTCATCGGTTAATTCTTTATACCCAGGTATCTTGGGTTTTACAACCGACTAACCTAGATCAATAAGCACAGTCCGGTATAAGCAAACGTCATTCGCTTAGTATGGTCCTCGAAGAAGCACACTCCCACTGAGTTTATGTTTCACTATAATAAAAGTATTTCAATACACATTCATAAGGCTTTTAAAGGCCACATAAACGCAATAGGTATTTCAATTTTCATTAAATTCACATTCCAACTTTAATTTATCTATCTGATGTCTGTATATATAATACATGATCCATGCATGCTAACTTGTGAAGTAAAGAAAAGTTTCCCCTCAATTCAATGTTGAAATAAGGTAGTAATGAGTTCTAAAAGATCAATAGATTCCTGGTTAAATCCCCTCATGGTCCAATCTACCTTATTTAATTCAATGTTGAAATAAGGTAGTATAAGTTCATTTGTTGGTAGCTTGGAAGATTACAACCATGACTATTGCTTTTCAATTAGTTGTTTTTGCATTAACTGCCAATTCATCAATCTTATTGATTAATGTACCTGTTGCATTTACTTCTTACGATGGTTGGTCAAGTAACAAAAAGATTATATTTTTTAAGACATTATTATCGATTGGATTAGTTTTTTTTTTATATCTATACTTAATTCTCTAATCTCTTGAGCCTTTTTTGGATGAACAAATTAACCCTTACTCAGAAGGCATTCTGTTTGTGACACGCATTAAGTATGAGTAAAAAACACAAAGAACACAAAAAAAAAAAAAAAATTTGAGAGGGAAGGTTAAAAAGTTACCTGAAAAATTAGAATCTTGGTGAAACTTGAAGTGAATATAGTATTTGGCTATCTAAAAATATGATCCATATGCGTATTACCTAGTATACATCTGGGTAAAAATTGAGGGCACTCGGTTAACATCCCATAGAAGGACGAGTGACAAGTCGTCGCCTGTATGCACACGTGGCGAGCACTGCTGCGTCAAAGCGACACGCGAAACGTTCGGGGCATTTCCGCAAAGCATTTCATATTCATGAGATGGAAAGGTGTCGTGGAATGGATGGGCCCAAAGATGGATGTGGTCTTCCTTTCGTCTTGTTCGATTTATCGGCCTCTTTGTCTCTCTAATCTCTTGTTTTGTTGAGCTAGCGCTTCTTTGAGCAAAAGAAAGGCAGGTTAAACTCTCTCTTTAGGTTTTTTTTTTTGGTTTATTAGCAAATTTATTGGTATTTTCTTTCCATTGGCATTTCTTTGTGCTGGTATTTGTTAAAACATTTATGAAAATTTTTTTAATGCTATTATTTATTTAGAAATTTCATGGCAATGCATATGGGTACCTTTTATTCAAAGCAACATTTTCTGAGAAAGGTTTGTTATGTACTTTGGGAAGGGGTGGCAATGGGTTAGGTCCGGACCCAGATCCAGATCCAAACCAGAATGTATTCGGGTTCAAGTTTTGAACCTGAATTCGACCCGTCGACGTAAAAGTTGGATCTATACCCGTATCCATTAGGTCTCGAGTCTATTCTGTTGGGTCTCAGGTTTTATCCCGTTGGATCCCAGGTCTGGTCGGGTCCATTGCCACCCTCCCTATGAGCTTCTTATAGCCTACAATGGTGAACAACCTACAATGGTGAACAACAGACAACTGATTTTAGAGAGGTGGGAAATTACATAGAGAGAGATTCGAGTTCCAGAGGGAGTTCCATCTCCAAAAAACTAAGAGAGGAATAATTGTAGAGAGGGAGGATGGAGATGGGGTTTGGCCGTTTCGAGAATTACTGAAAGATAAGTATTACAATGACTTTAGGGTTGGGGTTTTGGCTTTTGGATAAACTAAAAGTTCAGGTCCGGGTATCCAGTTCGGGTATAACAGGACCCGTACCCAGACCCGAGACAACCCGAATATCTTTTATTGGACCCGGATCCTACATGCAGGTCCAAAACATGGACCCATACCCCACCTGTGCTGGGTATACCCGACGGGTATGGTTCGGGTACGGGTCCATTACTACCCCTAACTTTGGGCATTGATATCTGGTCATAGTAACAATTTTTTTGTTCATTAGAATGATAGATCATAAAATTAGCATGATAGATCATAAAAGGTCGGATTTATTTATCCAGAAAAATGCAGGCACAAAATCTCAAGACGAGCTGTAAACTTTGTGTAAATTAAGAAACTGGCAACGCATGCAGCCTGGCCTGTGACTGTTTTATTTTAAGTGTGGCAAAGTAAACAAAAAAACAAGAAAACACGTTGGATCGGCGCTTACCCTTCCTTGGACCACGCCCTACATTTTTTGGGTTGGACTGGGCTGCCTGGCCCATTGCCAGCCCTAGTTTTACTGTGATTAACTAGGTTGGTCAAGAATCTAACCTAGGCCCTTAAGAATTTAAGGAAGGACTTTTGTTAATGGCATGACTTTTTTTTGTTTTTTTTTTTAGTAAAAAAGAAATATACGAAGAGAACATTTACTTTTAGTATAAGGTGATCATAGCTAATGTTGACCATTGAAGGTAAAATTGGGTGGTTCCATTTATTCTATTGACTGAGCTAAAATTTCAAAAGAAATTTTTTCGAATTTTGTGACATTTATTTCTATATCGGATAGTTATAAGTAATTGTGACATCTTTGTATCAAAGGTAAATGATAGTAATTGTGACCTCTTTGTATCAAAACCAAATGGTCTCATTGTATACAATCTTTTTATCAAAGTGTTTTAGAGGCAGAAGTTAGGATTGCGGTTGGAGTTGGGGTTCCCATATGTGTGCAATGCGGGACGCATAGCAACCCATGCAGGTGCAAAGTGGTGGGTCCCACCCTGGGGTTCCTGGCCTTTGCGGCGGCAGCTGTGGTGGAGTGGCCTGTGGGTGCGGTTGTGTATCTGTTTCGGCACATGACGGGGCGTCGTATCATGGCTCATCCCGTTACCGTTGTTTATCCCTCAGTTTCTAATGCTATCCCTATCTAAGCCAACCATGTAAATGATATCCCCATCTAAGCACACCATGTAAATTTTCATTTCGAACTTTTCTAAATAAAACAGGTTCAATGACTAAGTAAAAATTCCTTGTCATTTAAAGTTTTTGGGAAAATTCTACATTGGTTATCTATCTAATACAAATCCGAATAGACTCTCTCTTTTATTCGGGTTTGATACAGGTTAATACAAATCCGAATAGGCTCTCTTTTATTCGGGTTTGATACAGGTTAATACAAATCCGAATAGACTCTCTCTTTTATTCGGGTTTGATACAGGTTAAAAGAAAGTTTAAGGTCTCGATATTTTTGTAGATTATAAAAAACTCTTGTTAATTCTTTATAGTAGGCAATTATTTATGCTTTCTATATTTGTCCTACTTCATAAAATTTATATACTTCTTCCTACCGTCTATTATGAATAGACAGCTAAGATGGTCTCAATCACGATGTTATGTTTCTACACTATTTTAATTTTTTTACAAATTGTTTTGACACCAAATTTTGTGGTCTACTCCTATCTAGTTGTATCTATAAAAAAATATTTTTAATAAAATAAAATATCAAAATATCTATAAAAAGTATTTTGATTATTATATTTTATCAAAAAAATTAAATTTTTTTTAGGTGTATTTTAACATGTACTAAATTTGATAGTCAAATAATTTACAAAAAAAATTAAAATAAAATACTTGAGACATCGGAACTAGGTCAAATGATCAGTGATCCACTTGATATAACTTGAACAAGAAGTATATATCTTTAGGAGAAATATAAAAACCTTTCCCTTATTTCATTCTCCGTTTCTATACATTAGGATTAGACCTCTCACTCTCTCTCTCACAATATGAATGGAGTCGAAGGTTTGTGAGTTTCCCTCACTGTATAGCACATACACACAATGAAAGACGGTGATGTCGAGAATGGGGTTGCGCAGAAAAGATCGGTTTCCTCGTCAAATAGAGAGAACCGTTTTATTTCAAGAAGAGAGATGCCTACTGACAGCAAAAAAATGTCCTTGCTCGACTTACCTCACACAAGAAGAAGAAGAAGAAAGGAAGTAGAACCCGCTTAGATGCGCTCCTCCTTACAATAGGGTCGATATCCCCCTCCTCCCATTTTATTATTAATTGTTTCAAATACCTTGGCCGCCTAAACAAAATCTCCCTCCTGCCTTCAACACTGCCCCTTCGTTCAATCGCTATAGCAGTCAATATGTTCGTATATCTCTTGTTTGAGCAGTGAATGTAGTGCACCAGTTAAAATCTAAGCTTTCATTCTCATTTAATGCATTAAAAAACAATTCACAATTTCAAAAAAAAGGGTAGGGATTCGTCATCCCCATTGAATTATAAAAAAAAAAGAAAAACAGCGATAATCGATTTTAGGTTCATTTCGAAAGTCGAGGAATAATAAACTATGGGCGGATCAAACATTGGTAATAAATCGGTTTTATTTTTAAAAGTCTGGAGAAAAAATCGGGTTAAAAATATGGATTGCCAAAAACTAAGATAAGTTAAAATGCAATGGTATCTTTGTGACCTCTATGTGTAAAAGATAAATAGTCTCTTTGTAAATAATCTCGTATACATATATTTGAAATACATAGTATTTTGATAAATTTGCCTATATATGTATGAAGTGTATGTGTATTTGAAATATATTTTTTCAAAATATTGTTGTTAGGTTTTAGACCCATACCCAAACCGGACCAGGTCCGGTTTTGAGTCCAAAACCTTGACTCGAGTTGGGTTCTAAACCAGTTGGGGTGTAGGTTGACCTGAATCCAACTTGACCCATTACGATCTTTAGCTTTTCAATGTTGAGTCACTCTTTCTATATGTTTTTTTAGGTTTGTTTACTTCATTAGTATAAATTTGACACTTTATATAAACTTGTATCTTATTTAATAGTAGGGATTTGTCTACAAAGAGACTATTGATCTTTGGAAAATGTTTATATAAGGTTGTAACCTTAAAATGTAGAATTAAAGGTGCACCTCAAAAATCCATCATCAAAGGTTGTTGGAAGTTGGAAAAATCTCTAATTGATCATCTCGATATCGAGATGTATGAATATGAAAAGAAAAAGAGATTTTGAGTCTGCAAAATAATGTATCTTGCAACACATTTTTTGGACAGTCAATTTTCAAGATTTTTGTTTGTTTATATATCTATTTGATTTCATTCATTTTTAGAATTCAAAATTTTTTAATTAGAGATAAAAAATAGATTCTCAAGTCATCTTAAGAATTTATATATCAAAATTACATTTATGATAAAATTTAGAGGTGCGCCTTAATTGGATCGTTTAAGATTGCAACCTTATACAAACCACACCTTTTATCCTTTGTAAATGGCGGTCACAATTATTCTTGTCTTTTAAATTTCAAAACAGGTGGTTGTGACTCACCCAAACCATCTAATTTGACATCTAATAAATGGGATTGATTGTGACTTCCATGTACAAACGATAATGGTTTATTAGTAGTCATTCCCATTCCGATAACATGTGAAATTTTTATGAGAGTTTTCTTGGTGAAATTTTGATGAGAGTTTTCGTGTAGATAATTGCATTTGTCGGATGCATATGCCGTGAACAAGAACCACCCACTATCACATCATAATGCCAAGGAATTTGACATTTGATTTCTTAAGTTGCTTGATCGGTAAGATTTACTAGGTTTTTTTAGCATCATAATGCAAGGAATTTGACATTTGATTTCTTAAGTTGCTTGATCGGTAAGATTTACTTGGTTTTAGCATCATAATGCCAAGGAATTTGACATTTGATTTTTTAGTTATGGTGGAAGTGGAATGTCCTTGCCTTTGTTCATTGTTAGCTAGCAGTATTGTTGTTAGATGGTACTTTTTGGTGCAGTTTCAGCATCCAGGAGGTGCTCTTTGAAAAAGTGGTTCACATACTTGCTCTTGAAAAATAAAGAGAGTTCAATAAGAAGGGTTAAAGCTAATGCTATCTCCCTTTTCAATGCATGGTTCATGTAAATTTTAGTGAATTCAATATACTAAAATGGCTGGATATATTCCTTTTTTAACAACTAATGCCTGGAAATAATCTTGTTAGAGTAGAATGATATGAATGTGAACACATGATATGATTGTTGAGCTCACGTAGTTGAGCTCTCTGGCAAAATTGCCGATGCGCAAAGTGAACTCAGATACAGGATAAAATACATCAAAACGTGTATGAGTGAAAATAGCAAATAAATAAATAAATAAATAAATACCGACATCAAGATTTATGTAGTGTACTTTTTCAAGTTACAATTATGGGAGTAATAGACAAGTAATCCATTAATAAAAATTAATGGTTACAAAATCATTCGAGAAACAAGCTTTCTTTGTGTTTTTTGACTTGTTCTAAAGGCGTTTCTTCTCTAAGATTTCTTTCTTTGAGGTCCCTTTCTCTCTCAAAATCTTGTTTGCTTTCTTGGAGACTTTCTTTATCTCGGAAAGAAAATGTTTCTCTTTCTTTCCGACACACTTCTCTTTCTTTTTGACAGACTTCTCTCTCTCTCTTCTTCTTCTTCTCCTTAAAAGAAGGCTTTCTCTGTATCTGTATTTTCTTCTCCTCCTACACTCTCCATATATCTCTTTGTAATGGAGAAACACACCCCAAGAAGACGAACCCGACCCGTTAATTTTGTAATGGCGTAACACACCCCAAGAAGAGAGAATCACTAAGCCTCAACGTGAGGCTCTTTTTTTTTATGTAGGATGAGATTTGTTTTCCAAAATCTCAGCCCCACATCCCCTTTTAATGGACTACGGGACACTCAACAATAATGTATGCAATAGGGTTCGATCCCATTGTATCATAATGATGCCATTCATGTTCTGTAAAAGTTTTCTTTCTCAATGTACTCGGCCATTGGCTACAAGCGAGTTATTCTAGCCAGCCCGGGTCTTACTCACCCCAAAAAAGCATAAAAAATGAAAGACATTTTCTATAAATGATAGATTCTTTAAATTTTGATTTATGAATATTTCAGAAAAATAAAAAGAAAATTTTTTATAAGTCATCTTTTAAAAAAATCAAAATAAAAACATATATATATTTATTTTATTTTTTTTGAGTTACCTTGGAACTCGCCACACAGGCGGAGTTACTCAAGAGTTGAGTTCTGCTACAATGCTGTAGATTTTCATACTACTGTGAGTTGAGTTCTGCTACAATGCTGGGGATTTTCATACTACTCTGAGCGATATGCCTCGTGATTTTCTTTACAGTTCACCTTTAGTTGTCTTAATAATCAGTTGACTAAGATTTGCAAGGGCCCAAGCAGGTCGACCTGGCCAAAAAGACCCGGGCTTGGGCGATAAAAATTGGCCCCGGCTCAGGCAATAAAATTGGCCTGAAGACCAGGGCAAGCCTGCTCGGCCTGAGCCTACATAACCAAGGGCCCTGAACTGCTCCGCCAAGGCCGGGCCTCTCAGCCCCAAATTGCCAAATCTTTCGGCAGTTTATGTAAGGTGTTGAACCCATCTCCCAAGATATGTGGAATTCCAAAAATTCACCCTTGAAAAAAATTTGAGAAAGAAGAGATTAGATTAAGTTGAGATTTAAGTCCAGGGGATTCAAACCAACCACCAAATAAAAACTCCAATTTATTTTCAAATCAATCAAATAAACCTGCAACATTCAATCACACAAAGAAATCACCAACTCACATGTCCAAAACCCAAATACATTTGATGAATACAAGAAATCAACAACTCACATGTCCAAAACCCAAATACATTTGATGAATACATTTACGTATTCATGTTCACGTGAAGTTATATTAGTAAAGGATTGGATACTATGAGACCGTTTATTTTCGTATACCACCTTGTATCAAATGTAGACGGTCTTATTGTATACACTTCCTACTAGTAAAGACTATTGAAGTTATATTTTGTATTAATAAAAGACTACCAAAGCAGCTTTACAATACGTGTTTCACTTCGGCATCATCGGATTCGCTATCTGAGATGCCAAGCTTGTAGACGGGGCATTGGGCCTTCCGCGCTAGCTAATTCTATTCTCTTCCTCAAAGCTTTAATCTCACCGTTAAGTTTCTCTTCCTGACTGGCCATCATTCTTAATAAGTTCTGGTTTTCCTCATATAACAGCGCACACTCGACTTGCAATTTTTGTAATTCCTCTGCATGTCTGGTATTGAGAGGCGTCATATCATCGCACCAGTGGCAGGTATTACATTGCTATAAAAGTGAAACAAGAACAGCTTATATGTACTAGAAAATAATGTGCAATTTCATATAAAGAGATCCTTTTACCGATAAAGCCTACGATAACTACAGAGAACAATCAAGTTTACTTACTTCTTTAAACATAACCTGTGAACAGTTATAGAACAACCTTTTCCGGTTGTGTTCTGTGTTGCTTATTCTCAGCTTTGTAGGATTCCAACATTTGCAAGTTAGCACCTCATCCGTTCTGATAATGCATTTGCAATCAGATTATGACCCATGGATATAATCCAGTTAAGATGACTTGGTATGGTTGTTGTATGCTATTGCAGAAGTAGTTTATTAAAAGAAAACCAGTAAATTAAAACATAAAATCTACGATCTACATGAAACATATGTTAAAGAAGCCAATTAGCATTACTTGTACCTCAGCATGTATATAAAAATTTAAGCAGAACTTTCAAATAGGAGTAGCAGGCAGCAAAATAAGTTCTAGTAATTACATTATAGAACATTTTAAATAATTAAAACATAACTTGCACAAAACCCACAGATTTTAGTTGGTTCTAAACTCTCTTTTTTTATAAAAAGAACCAAAAAAAAAAAAATCACTTCTTGTAGTGGAATTTTCGTCTTGAAAATCAAACATGTCTTTGACAACC